ACAGGTTAATGTGGTGAAAGCGATGGCTCCATAATCTTACAGAGGAGAGTTACAGGCCACATTTAATTATTGCAATGAGATTGGTGGGAGTCGTACTTGGAGGCTTTTAAATAAAATGTTGTTTTCCTCGATACGTTCTTCCTGGCCTTAGAACTTATTTATACACTTCCATTTAGTTAACTTTGGGCTAATTTAGCAAATGGATATTCGTATTTATTTCATTATTTCGCCGTTTCTTCATTATTTGTGTTCATCGCGTTATCGTTGTGCTGTCTGCTTGTCTTGCACCACAATTGGAGATCATTTTATGAAAGACGATTTATAAATAGAATAATTATTTCTGTATTTCAGTGCAGTGTCTATAATTGGATTAGCCTGAAGTGTGACAGGTAACAGGTCTGACTAAATGTGGTTTAAAAATGACGTACTTTAATTTCGTTTCTAAATAAACAACTCTATCAATTCTCATATCAAATAATGAAAACAATCACCATCATCACCCGTGTCATCTCTCAGCATCATCAACTGTAACATCTCCATCACCACCACCATCAGCTATACCACGACCATCATCAACATCCTGTGATCTCCATCATCACACCATTATGATCGCCCGTCATCTCCAACACCATCACCTGTTACAGCATCATCATTACATAAACATTGCACTTAATACAATAACAATCATCCCTGTAGGATCATTAATTATCACATGCATTATCAGTGATCACTACAATCACCATCACATGATTACCAGTGATCACTATCACTCTATGCATTGTCGTCGCTACCAACACCATATGTACGAATACTAATACAGTTCAACCATAATCACAACCATCATCAAAACCACCACCAATATCACCTGTCATCATCATTGTCACGACCACCACCAATATCACCTGTCATCATCACTCCTACTATCACCATCAATATCTCCTGTTACCATCATAATCACGACTACCACCACCAATATCACCTGTCATCATCATTATCACTCCTACTATCACCATCAATATCTCCTGTTACCATCATAATCACGACTACCACCACCAATATCACCTGTCATCATCACTCCTACTATCACCACCAATATCACCTGTCATCATCATTATCACTCCTACTATCACCACCAATATAACCTGCCACCATCATTATCACTACCACCACCATCAATATCACCTGTCACCATCATTATCACTACTACCACCACCACCAATGTCACCTGTTACCATCATCACTACTACCATGTCCACCAATGTCACCTGTCACCATCATCTTACTACCATGTCAACCAATGTCACCTGTAACCATCATCATCACTACTACCATGTCAACCAATGTCACCTGTCATCATCATCACTACTACCATCAATATCACCTGTCACCATCATCATCACTACTGTCAACCAATGTCACCTGTCACCATCATCATCACTACTAACAAGTCAACCAATGCCACCTGTAACCATCATCATCACTACTACGTCAACCAATGTCACCTGTAACCATCATCATCGCTACTACCATGTCAACCAATGTCACCTGTCACCATCATCATCATCACTACTACCATCAATATCACCTGTCATCATCACTACTGTCAACCAATGTCACCTGTCACCATCATCATCACTACTACCAAGTCAACCAATGCCACCTGTAACCATCATCATCACTATTACCATGTCAACCAATGTCACCTGTAACCATCATCATCACTACTACCATGTCAACCAATGTCACCTGTCACCATCATCATCACTACTACCATCAATATCACCTGTCATCATCACTACTGTCAACCAATGTCACCTGTAACCATCATCACTACTACCATCAATATCACCTGTCACCATCATCGTCACTACTACCATGTCAACCAATGTTACCTGCCACCATCATCACTACTACCATGTCAACCAATGTCACCTGTAACCATCATCACTACTACCATCAATATCACCTGTCACCATCATCATCACTACTACCATGTCCACCAATATCACCTGTTACCATCATCATCACTACTACCATGTCCACCAATATCACCTATTACCACTATGATCAACAACACCACCACCGCCATCATCACCACCACCACAGTCCCCTTCTCTTCACTGTCCCACGACCTCACCGGCGTCTACCGCTGCTGCTCGAGCGCCACAACACCGGACTCCCGTGAGCAGCGAGGAGAAACCCCCTCGGTGTCCCGGCGTCTCCTATTCCCGTGAAACCCCCCCTCGACAGGGAGCGCGCAAGCTGGGGAGGGAGGGGGCATCCGAGCCTCGCAGACCCCCAGGAAAACTCAGTCGCACGCACTTCGTCAGGGGGGACGCATTCGCAGACTCCTCGATTCCTCGATTGCGTTACGGCCGATTCGCGCGTTGTCGATTCGCGCACCCTTTAATCCTCGTTCGTTTCGGAAATCGATTCCGGTTTTTTATTTCATGTTCAGGGCGGTCCAGATGTTTTGTGACCCCCCCCCCCCCCAATTAATTGAACTTTTCATCATTTTTGTTTTACATAAACCTTTTAAAATATAACTTTTCGAGAATAAAATGGGGGGGGGGGGGGGGGGTCACAAGACATCTGGAACAGCAGCCTGGACAGTAATGCAATTGACCGAATTAGTCAATTCGGTTCCTTTCAGTTTCAGTGTCTCCATATAATTTTTTTTGTACTGTCTTACACATCTCAGCAGCCACATGACCTGGGAGTGCATTTTTGCATTCCTGATGTAATACGTACTCTTACGTGTCATATTTGGCCTATTATGACATTTCGCATGGCCATTGACAAAGGAAATTTAACAAAACGCTGCATAGTGCACAGAGGTATAAAGAACCATTCTTGGAATGACACTGGCACCGTCAGACGTGTATTATTTATATTTTATCGATTTGCTTACCCTTACTCTATCTTACTCTTATATAGTTTTTGATTGTTAGGTGTATCTTGCTGACCGTGAAAAAGGGGCGTCATAGCACATCGGATTCCTCCGGTCAAAGTAAAGACGCTTATTCTATGTATGCGAGAACGTACACAGGTTACACACATCTCGCCGCCGTGGTGATGTTAACAACCTCGCCTGGTACACAGGAGGTCGTGTGGGTTCGATCACGACCCTGAAGCCTGCTGCTGCTGTAAATATTTGGAGTTTGTGGTGTCTCTCTCCACGTGGTGGTCGCGTGGATTTGCCTCTGGGTCCTGCGGCGTTTCCCCTCCACATTTAGAAACACGCGTTTAAGAATCTTTTAGCTGTTGTAAATTTTCAACATAAGCCAACTCAGCCGAGCTATCTTTTGTGATGGCCAGGTCGCTTTTTAAAAATAGCAACGTAGCTCAGCGGACCTTACCTTGTAAACTACAAAAAGCCACGTAGATAGAAACAATAATATGACGATTGCTTGTGTTGCGATCGAAACGTCGTGATAATATCTACGTGGCTTTACCGAAAGAGCCAAATAATATTAATTCCGGCAGTCACGAAAGCTTTCAGTCAATATTCTAGATTTGAAGTTTCCGTAAAGTCACGTAGGTGAAAAATAAATTTCTTTTATTTTTTCACCTACGTGACTTTACCGAAAGAACCAAAGAGTGCTTTAAGTCAATATTTAAACTACAAAAAGTTTAGTTTTTAGTCCATACACAAGTCAAAGTGTAAGTGGGCTTTGGGCAGGGACGATGGCCGAGATGCAAACCACCGAGTCTGCAGCCAAATGATGGAACAAAATTGTTGGTAGTCGCGTTGCCCCGAGGAAATGGAGCGATGCAATCGGCTTGCAAGAATCCAAGCCAGCTGGATTGCAACAATCCATTGCAACAATGGATTGTTGCAACAATGGATTGTTGCAATCGCGTGAAGAGTTGGCGAGTGCGTGTAGGAGGGCCATCGGTGTGAATCGACCACAGCCGGACGCCTGCAAGACGGAACACTTGAGGCAGGCTTCTCAGTGAAGCCTCCGCGGAGTTTCAGGTTTTTTCTCCTGTTTATTTCAGTTCAGTTTATTTTGGTATAGCCCTGTGAGCCATTCGGCTCTTGATACGGGTGCAACCGCAACAAACAAAACATAACAACGAACACAAAAAAAAACATCTTAAAGTGACTATGTGTGACTGTGCAAACTGAAAATCCATGGAAAAAACAGCAAAATATTCCTGAAAAAAAGCACCGTACACCAACGCTGTGCAAAAAAAATCCCAGTGGGATGCAAGTCAAACAACCACAAGAAAACTTAGTTTAAGGCCATCAGTCTAACTCCGTCATACAACAAAACATGTCCAAACCAAAAAAACGTTTTCCAAATCACCAAAAAATAAAGCCATAATTGCAACGTAACAGCGAGCACAGGGACTGTGACCGAATTTTTGTTACAGTAAACTACATAAATAACATGTAACATAAATAACATGTTATTTAAATAACATGAGTGAGAAGAGATTCGGCGAAATGAAACGCGCGTGGGAATCGTGGATCGCCGTACGTTTGCAAAGTTACATAAACTTATCCGGAAGGAAGTTAACGTGCCGCGCGCGTTAGAACGCAAAGCGCGCCGAAATTAAAAGTTACGGAATATAAATACACACACACAAAGCGGTGGCTGTTGGCGCAGTGTCCTGTGTTGTTTATTGTCGCTATTTACGAAACGTTGACCTTGCTGGCACGGCGTGCGTAGTTGCGTAGCCATCTAGCAACAGGGGAACCAGTTTAACACGCAGGGGGCTTTCGCGACCAAATATTTATAAAGGTTTTTTTTGGTGGGGGGGTTAGATCGCCTACATATAAATGTGTCGTGAAACCCGCCACCACCCTGACACGGCCAATTAGTAACCTCCACGATGAACACTGTACAAACTCGCACGGCGACCAACTCACATCCCCCCATCCAACATGGCGCTCCCCCTTAACCAAGATGGCCGCAAATACTTCACGTGTTAATAGACGGTCGAGATGTCCGATAAGCTTTTCACGCAACACAACACACGGAAGCCTTTACCAGAGGCCGAGCGTCGATATCCGCATCCAAGTATAGCGTTGCTAATTTCGCCTTGCCATACTAAAGTGCGCGCGCACGCACACACACACAATTCCCCGACCAAGATGTCCGTCTTCTTTGGGCCTTTCGGTAAAGTCACGTGGATAGAAAAAAAAATAAAGTGATATTTTTATTCTTCTTTATTCAATTTATTTTCATTCTTTTATTATTCTTTCTATCTACATGACTTTACCGAAAGACCTAAAAAATATGAATTCCTGCAGTCACGTAAGCTTTAAGTCAAAATTTAAGATGTCCGCCTTTTTTCTTATGGCCGCGCGGTGATGACATTGGTGGAGGAGACTCTGCCGTGTGCGATCCCGCCCCGCCCACCCCGTTCGCCCCGCCCACCCCGCTTTACCCCACCCACCCCGCTTTACCCTGCCCCGCCCACCCCCTACCCTGCTCACCACCCCCCATCATCCCTCTACCTTCTCCGCCCCTCCTACCCCGCTCATCCACTCAGCCCCGCCCACCTCCCCACCGTAATGGCGGCGCGCGTGTTCGGCGTGGCCGCTTCGCGCCTGCTGCTACTGCTGCCGCCGCCGCCTCTACGAGGAGGCGCCCGAGTCCCCGCGCTCCTCCTGCAGCCGGCCTCCCGCCCCGCCAACGCGCCCAGCTCGCTCGCGGGCGCCGTGCAGACGCGGGGGCTGCGACAAGGTGCGCAGAGGCCGAGCGTCGTGCGAGAGGCCGAGCCTAGTGTCGCCACTATTTCCGCTGCGCGGTAGAACCAAAGCAAGACTTTCTCAGTCGGCCCAGGTCCGTTATCAACACTGTGCATTGTACCGGAGTTAAAGTTCAACGTACTACCGGTACAAATCAATTCAGGATATAGATGCGAATTAACCGATTGTCCGGGTCGAACCCGTACCGTAACCACCCAAGGGAAAGGCTGCGGGAGCAGATCATTGAAGGTCAGGTGCCACTGCTACTGGATCCGATAGAAGGGAAGAAGTGTTGGGGAGGTGTGCTGGCATAAACAGCATTGCCCGTGATGACCTCAGTAACTGAAATGTGTGTGCCTCCATCGCCACCGTCTCTGAAAGGGGAGCATACGAGGTGGTGGGCACTGCAATTCATTACGGGGTCAAATGCACGGCTACCCCCAGGCTACTTATAGAATTTGCAGTCACCCCTTCTGATGAAGTACTGTAAACAAATGGAATTGTTTCTCCATCTAAGACTCACCTGCGCATGTCTCATCTGACACAGACATTAAGTGGCGACCTTGGAGAATGAATACACGTGCTTTATTTTACATTTCAACCCCGGAAATGTGATGCATGCCTCAATTCCTGTGACCTAGATAAAATACGGTTGTACATTTGAAAAATGTTTTTTTATTATTACATGAAGCTCCTAGAACAATATTGCGTCCTACTTTTTAAAAAAATGTCATTCCCTCCCAGTCAGTCTTAAGCGGAAAGTTCGATTTCATTTCTGGGACAGTGATTGTAAACATGCCTAACTTTAAACTGTGTATAGGTGAAATAGCAAGTTATATTTTAAAATGTATACTGGTTTCTGTTTAATATTTCAAAAATGTATACCGATGTTTGGTCTTTTATCACGTGTCATATTGCTTTAAATACCAAGGTCTGCTTTGGAAAAAATATACTTTTAATCTCAACGGGCTCTCACCTGCGTTTAAATCAAGTTTACCCATCTGCCTTATTTACCGTCGCCTCTTACAGTATTCGTGATCTCATGATAATCAGATCCTAAACGTGACATTCTCGAGCTGACACCCATTTCACCAGGCTGAAATATTTTGAGCGATAAAGCCCGGGTGGACAGCCTGAGGTTTTATAACTGCGGCAGATTAAGCAAACCCAGATCGCAGTAAAGTGTGTTGCTTAATTGTTTTGCGTTGATTTGCAGTTAATGAACACAAGGAAGGAAACACAACAACGGTAATCGTTTGAATCACTTGCATCGACGAACAAATGTTGGCTCATGCAACACACACACCCAGCGTTTCACACGTTCGGAGTTAATGCGGGAGGTCAAATTGCTGACTACTGGGTCCACAGTTAATTGGTGAAAGCAAATTGTCATTCCCAATAAAATCTCGATCGTATTGCTGTGAATTATGGATGCCAATTTTCGTGTGATGACATACCAAATAGCACAACTGGAATTTTGAGAGAAAAAAAAACGAATCATTGTGTGCAACAATCTATGCTAAAAGGCAAGCTATGATGCAATGGTTGTTGAAGCATTTCAGCTATCGTACGGTATTTTACTTTCTCCCCCCAGTTGGAAGGGAAAATTGTGGAACAGCAAGCAGGCAACGAGCCGCCCAATCCAGCAGGTGGCTGCCCCATCTGCCGTTGGAACGTCAAGCACAAGTATGATTACACGGTAAGTATGGGCCACAGGTACACATGATTGTGAAGGCAAGTCGCCAAGAATGATAAAATAGTATGCTTACCATTACACCACGGCAGCATCCCATATGGATAATACACATGTGACTCATTGTTAGAAGATACAAATACTCTATATGGTATAGATCTTTACTCTTTGGTTCTTTCGGTAAAGTCACATAGGTATGAAAAATCAAATAAATCATATAGATCTTGTCGAAAACACAACTTGAGCTTGCCTCATGTACTGAAAAGTTAAAAATGTAGTCTGGACTAATGAACGACATACAACCAAGATGTAGATAATAGTAAAAAACACTCCTGAAGACATTTAAATAAAAAAATAAGACATGAAAGAGCACCATTGGGTGCGTGTTAATGGACATGCGTGTCTCTTCCTGGCATACAGGATGTGCTGCTACTGAGTCAGTTCTTGCGTTCCGATGGAGGAATGCTGCCACGCCGCGTCACTGGCCTGTGCCTGGAGGAGCATCGCAAGGTGGCCGTCTGCGTTAAAATGGCGCACAGGGCCGGTGAGGATTGCGCACACCAGATGCACATTGGGCGCACACACAACAACTGGCCCTTGGACTTATGCAACGAACACGCGCACAGCCCTGCTCCCCTATACAGGGTGCTTCAGAAAAACGTTAACACTTCCGAGAATTTACAATACCACGAGAAATGTGCCTCCGGGCTCTGGAGACCATATGGAGAAGATTCCAGGTATGTGTTAACAATGATGGCGAATAAGTGGAGACAGATTTTTTTGAAGCTATAAACATTTGTAATCATGTTAGTGTATTCGTTTTTTTTCCATTTAAAACGGTAGTCCCATATAAGTGTTAACATTTTTTTGAAGCAACCTGTATATGCATTCGTGAATCTTATCAGTTATATAAACACAACTGTTCATCTTGTGTTTCAACACAGGTCTCCTGCCAGATCACAGGCCAAGGCTTCCACCGGGACATGTTCCCAAGCCCAAATTGAGCCTCAATACGTAAGTGCAGGCTACGTTTTTTTTTGTTCTGCAGTACACATACCTGTCAACCCATACGGTTTACCCATATTCTTGTACAGGGAAATTTAGTTTTCAGGTCCATACGAATACGTTTGACCCTTTCTGGCAATAAAACAGGTGTTAAGATATTCAAACACCAAACTGAAACCTTTAGCAAAGAATCATTTTTACATTAACCACAATACTTGTGAACATGCAAACAAAAACATGCTCTGGTAATATATGCATCGTCTACACCAGAGACATCCTTCTTTAGGGCTGAGTCTCAACCAGTGTAAGACCAGTGTTCTTGTACTTTGATACTGGCAAGAAAGGTCCCATGTTGTAGCCGTTTCAATACGGGCATATTTTTTGTTTGTTTCTCCCTTGTGTGGGACTTTGTAGGATGCACGCCGAGATGTATAAGGGGGCGACCAATAAGGTCTGAATTGGTTTGGAATAAGGTGGGCACTGATAAGGGGTTGACAGGTATGAGTACATTACCTATGAAACGTCATGCTGTCGACTTTAGCACGCAACTCACAACTTGTTTTTGTTGTCACTTGGCAGCTACCTGACTCGCTGGGCCGTGGGCACAGCCAAGCCCATATGGAAAAGGGGGCACAAGGGATTCAAAAAGACCATGCCTGTGGGCGATCCCATTCTCAAGGACAACGTGCGTTATACGAAGGGCCCATTGTACATGGAACACTAGCAATTGCTACACCATATGCACTGCGTGTTGAAATTAGTGGGGGGGCATCTTGATCAGCAAAAACATTGTATAGACTGACATGTTAAATTATATTAACTGACATGACGTGAAGTTTCACATTTAAATGTAATAAAAAAACATTTGTAATATGTGTGCATTGTTTTTCTCTAAGAGCTGGTGTATTGTTATCCCCCAGGCATTCTGAATTTCTTCTACCTTAAACATTTTATATTCATGGTGATTGACACTTGAACACCAATTAAACTAAGCTTGTTTATCCTTAAGACCGATTCCACTGGCAGATTAACAGTTTGCAAAAGAAAATGCTTTATACACCTGCTGGTTTCATCACTGCTCCTCACTTGATGGGTCAGTAGGAGTTAACCGTCACTGTCCCAGTGCCCATGTAATGGTACACTTAGGCAAGCCCCATTCTATGTAGGCAATTATCTTTAAACACTTACATGTATTTTAATCCAGGTTGTTTTATCCAGGGCACCTATTCCCCTATTAGCCTGGATAATCGTGAGATGACTGAACTTTGAAAAAAAAACAAGGCAAACAATTGAAAGACCGGATATTTAATAGTATGAAATATTCAAGTACAATTTTGACTCACTTTACAGAACAAATTTAATCTTATTACAAGCTTGAATGTAATATCTACACACTTGAGGGATGTTTTGGAAAAAATAACCCACAATATAAAATTGTCCAGAAAAGAGGCTTTGAGTAGGCCAATTAAGTGGATGAAAACATTCATGGAGTTCATTGTTTGGCCATCTGTGGGGGAGATGACAAAAATATAAAATGGAGCTCAAGTGTTCCCATTAGCCTACACACATTACCTTAAACTGTGATTTATTAGTTTTTTTTATCTAGTACAACCCTCCAGTACATAAACAATATCCAAAACAAGGCTACTCATCACTTCCCTTTGCCTTTGTTGGCCTGGCCCCCTTGGCCTGACTTTCCCGATTTGCCTGGCTTGGCTGGTTTGGCCAGAAGAGCTGGGTCGATTTGTGCAGGGTCCACACCACGCACAGAGTAGAGCCGTGCTGCCCTTTCGTGCAGCGTGCCACCGCATTTCATGCCACGTGCCATGAGGACAGCCTTGAGACACTCCAACCCCAGTGCCTCCAGCTCTTCCACAGAGCTCAATGCCATCAAATCCACCTCCGCAGTGACCTGTCAGATGGAAAACCCATGGAGTGGTTAATATTATGCCCGTGTC